ACGAGAACAAAGAAAATGGCTCACAGGCTCGTATTAATCCATTTAATAAAATGAATATAGAAGGTGGAGAAAGTCCACCGTCGTATTTAGAAGCTATCGGTGCTGATGGTAAACCTTCCAATTTGCAAAAATCAATAGCCTCACGTCTGAAAAATTCCATGAATGTCTTTACAAATGTTAAAATACGTGTAGATGCACTTAAGCGAAAATCTAGTTTTAAAGTTGCTCAACGTGAATCAGAAGTTAAAGTTACGTTACAGATGGTCCCCAGACCAAGTTTATCACCACTTTTGGTTCGTTATGAAGGACCTTTAATACGTTTCCCATCGGGTGTTGTTGAGGATATACTAAAAGAGATGCAAAATCGTAAAGCAATATTACGTGATCGTCAATTTCAAACATTCCTGGATCAAGACATGAAAACTCCTAAGGAGATTATACCACTCGAATACATAACAACATTACAATGTGTTAGCAATAATCGTGTTACAGATAATTCAACTCATTTTTATTGTTTTGAAATAACCACATCAGTACCCAAGAATGGTAGCAATAGTGCATCCAATGTCCAAGCAATGTCTAATCCGAATTTAATAATGACAACTGGTAACTCCGGAAATTGTAAACAAATCAGAATTTCGCATTTGTATGGCGTTAGCAAGGAATCCGAAAGGTAAATAAAAGAGAAAGTCTCAATAATAATAGTAATCTGTTAATCTGACAATACGTCTATTTTTGTTAGCCATATTAGGGTAACTGGGTCAGTGTAGGTTGAAATAGCTTTCTTGTGTTCAATACCCATTTGACCTCAACGAACAGTTGTGATACCATGGATTAGCGTTGTTCATACGTTGATAAAACAAATTCTCGAAAGAACCGCAATTTTCGGCGTACTGAAACACTGAAAGTTAACCTAGCAAGTTTATAGGCTTTGTTCGAGTCTCTAATATTATAGGATAACTATTGTATCAGGTCGGTCAAAAAAGAATCTCAATGGTTTTGAAATTTTTTCCTAGCTAAGGATGAACACTGTCATATGAGATGGTATACAGGTTTTTTCCCATTCGTAAAGGCACAATCGCGATAAGAGTTCTTATAGTGTAGACCCATTCTGATAGCATATCTTACTAGTACGCAGTGAGCATACGTTTGTGCCAAGCAGGTTACGCCTTAGTTGAACTAGGATAACTAACAAAATATATTATTACAGAATTATAAATAATTTTATAAATAACTATATAAAATTACTTGTAATAAAAGTCCATAATCGCAGTGGGCTCTACTAAAATCCTAGTTAACTGTTATTCTATGTAACTTAATATTATTTCAGAATGTTATATTGTAAAAATATGTAGAATTGCTTGCGATAAATAAATTTTAAATTAATTTCTAATTCTTAATATATTATTAATTAAAAATTAAACTCAGATTTACACTATCCTGAGTCCTATAACGCGGTTCAATTAACCCGTGTTACTTTATAACAGATTTTTTATTCAAAATTTCTTCATTTTTCAGAGGTGTATGGATGCAAAAGTTATTGGAGAGCTTAACCAATGCCATTCCACCAAAATATATTTGCCATTATTATCGCGCTGGTTGGTGTTATTTGAAGGTACAATAATCATAACAATTTTTTTTTATAATTACCATAATTAATTTTTTTTAGAACTCCATCACGTCTGAGTGGAGTGGTACTTGGTTAGTTTTAAAGAAGAGTCGTAGACGCTTAGTTTTTGTGAGTGAATCTACATTAAACGTTGAAAAAATGGATCTAAGAAAAGCACGCTGCATAGGTTAGTTCTATTATCACATTAACTAATAAAATATAATAAATAATTATTGGTTTATTTTACAGTATTAAAAGATAGCGATGAGACTATTAAAAAGTTACACGTTGAATCGGGCCCCACACTTATGATTGATTGTCCACCATTTACTGTATATATGATAATGAGTTCCCCACGTGAGACCAAAATATGGCGTCACATCATAAGAGAAGTGGCACATAATAATGGTTTCTCATTGAGCGATCAACAATTGACTAAATTCAATGTGCCAGTAATTGTGGATAAGTGCATTAATTTTGTATACATACATGGCTCCATGTCTGAGGGCATTTATCGAAAATCGGGCTCTGAAAATTCTATTGTGAAATTAATGTCAGCATTTAGAACAGATGCTTTCAACGTGGAGATCACACGAAATGAATATAATGAACATGATGTTGCCAATGTGTTGAAACGTTTTATGCGTGATCTTCCTGAACGTTTGCTGGGCAAACTTTCTGAAAGTTTCATATGCGTCACAGAGTTAGCCAAACCCACTGAAAAAATTGAAGTCTATAAGGAGTTACTGCAAAGACTTGGTACAATAGAACGCGAAACTTTAAAGAAAATTGTTAGCCATTTAGCATTTATTAGTTCGCAAAAGTCTAAAAACAAAATGAGCGTACAAAATTTAACTATGATTTGGGGGCCTACGCTTCTACATAGTCGTGTAAGTTTAAGAATAAACTCCAAATTGTACTTTAAATAATATTTATTTTTTGTTTATTTTTTTTTAGCGAAATGAGGAACTGGTTTACTCAACAAAAGAAGCTGATGTATTGACTGATTTAGTTTTACTATATAAGAATCTATTTCCGCTATCAGTCGATGAAATGGTAAATATAAAGAAACATAAAAACATTTATTATTAAAATTTAGTTGATATACTTAAATTTAAAATTTTATATATTTGATGTCTAAATGATAATCTATGTATTTTCGAATAGAGCAGTTTTTCATAGTGAAGGAGTATCAAATACAATTTTTTTTTAAATTAAGAGAATGGGCTGACTATATATGTGTTTCGGACTCGTGTCTTCATCAACAAAAGTTATCTTTTTGTGGTGATACTTGAAGTTTTCATGTCCAGTAATCAATGACGTCAGTCAACTTAGACTGCTCTACGGATAGCTAAGCACTTTTATCGCTTCCCTGGCGAATGATTTCAACATCATGTTAGTTAGGTTAACCTGTAAAGTACGCATAGATTTATTGGTCTCATTGATACTAAATATAGTTAGTTTATGTAGGTTTTGTAGTAGCCATTTTAGTGAGTCTAAGTAGTGTTTGAAGCTTTATTCCTGAAATAGAGCTTCGATATTTCCATAGATATTAATTTATTATGTAGTTCAGGTTATAAAAGAGTTTGTTCGTTTTTAACAATAAGAAAAATTAAAGACATTAAAATGACAAAATAGCTTCCCGATTCGAAATAGGTCTATTGAAACAGCTAGTGTGCCTCTTAAATTATGGTAACAGAATGCAACCATATTAAGAGCTTAGAGTCTTATAGTCCACTATAAAACAGGCAACTATTTATAACTCTTCCATAAATAATCCAACTAATTTCAATTATTTAAAATTGCTATTTGGTTTCTATATATTTAAATATATTTTGAATTAAATATATACAATATATTAAATAAAAATTTTTAGTAATATTTTAATATGTTTAAATAATTTTTTTTATTTGCAGAAAAAAGAACAGGAAATGCTTCTATGCCTACAGAAGTATTATGCAGCCGCTGAAACGCTTATGGATTCAGTTAAAAAGTCTGGAGATCTCAAAATGTGGATTACATTAAATCCAAGCCCAGAAAATTTAACTGAGGTATATACATTTTAAATTAATTATATGCAAATAATAAAAAATGATTCTTTTTTTAATTATACAGGAAAAAAAGCAAATAAATGTCACAATATCACCCACCAAAACTGCTTACGAGATATGTCAAGAACTGGCGCCCAAAATGAATATGTCCACACATCAGGTGTCGTTACATGAGATTATATTGAATGACAATTTAGAACGTCCACTTCATCATGATACTAAAGTATTTGAAGTTGTGCTCAACTGGTCTTATTGGCCCGAAGATGATCGGAAAAATAATTATTTGGTTGTGAAGCCAGTTGATTTATTACGTGAGGTAGATCGTGCAGTTAAGAATTTGGCTACCGTCACACCTGGCAAAGAATTAAAATTCGCAGATAATCGTACAAAGTCCTTCAAATCGTATCAGTGTGAATTACGTGATGGTAAAATTGTTGTTTCGAAAAAGGATAAAAATGATAAAACGACAATTGTGCGTGAAATATTTTTGCACAGCAGTACAGCTTATTTGGGCTGTGAAAAGAAGCGGGACTTTCCATGGAGTTGGGCAATAACTTTTGTTGAACGCAACCAAACACAAATCTTAAGGTAGAGTTTACATTTATAATATATACAAAAGATAACTGCAATGAGTACTCAACACTCGAATCATACTCGAATCATATTCGACTGTGTTTCATTTATATGCATTCTGGCTCTATTTTTCGTATATTCGACTCCACCTGATTCTTACAAACAGCTGACATGTGATGCTCATAAACACCTCATAGTTTTCGTTATAGATTTGGTTTTTTATGAGTGCACTTTGAGTATTAAAATTATGACTCGTTGTAGTTCTCTGATACACACTAAACTTTATACTAAAATTAATTATTAATATTTTTCAGATCTCGTGATTTACCGTACATAGGTCACGTTCTAGCTGGTAGTGAGTGGGTAGATCGTACAATTTGGTATTCAAGTATTTGGTATTGTCTGTACGGTGACAGCATACTGCCTCCTGCTGAAATAATTTTAAAATAAATTACATATTTTTATATTAGCAAATAACTTAAATCAATTATTAATTAAATTTAAGTAAAAACATATGCCATTAATAACTCATTCTAAAAATTCGAGACACTGCATTTTCAAGTTTACATTAATTTTTCTTTATTGTAAAACTGAATGTTCAAATATAGTTTTAAATTTTATATATTCAAAATATAAAAAATATTTAAAATGTATTATTAATTATTTAAAGATTATCAAAAAATAAATACATTTTTATACTTAAAAACTAATGTGAGAAATGTTATTTTAATTGTTAATAAAATGTTCAAATTTTCTCATAAAGAAAAAATTTAAATGCTTAATTTAAAAAAGAGATAACCGAAGTACTAACGAATTACACGTTACTAATTAATATCGTAATTAAGTACAGATTGAGCTTTTGTTTAATCCACCATAAATTCATTTGTTCATAATACTAAAAAAATTACAAATACATTACATACAAAACATGTTAAAATAAAATGGTTATTGTGTTAAAAGGTACTTGTGTGGACGGACGCATAAATACGTTTTGAATTATGTCTGTAACAGGCAAGCAGTAAGATAAGAGCCAATGCAATTATAAACCCAAGTGTATTAGCAGCAATTGAAAGTCCCAGTATCGTAGTCCATTTGCCTTTGACTTCGTCACAACTCAATTCTCTGGATTATAAATATATAATTAACAAAATCAACTATTAGAATTAAATATATGTTTATACAATAAATGCGTACCTATATTCTACTTTATAACTACGATTCTCAACAGTTTCAGGCACCGCACTTTCATTATTTGATACTGCATTAACTGCAGATAATGCTTCATCATCGGCATGGAATGTACATGTGCATGAGCCTTCTTCCTGGAGTATAAGTGTGGCTTCACATTTAGTGTCAGAAGCAGTAAGACGCGCATAGTGCATTGAGGCACAAATCACGGCCAGTATACATAGTAGCACCGCCAGCAATGACAAGATATATAAATCGGCACGCAGAAAAATAAAGCAATTTTCACGTAACTTGTTGCGTTTTATACGCTTATAACGTACAAGCACAAGTCCAAGAATACCGGCAAGTAGTAGCTTCATCCGAGAAGAATTTAAAGTAACTTAATTAGGAACAATTTAAAATTAATAATTTTCTAAATTAAAATACTTACAGCTAAACCGCTCCAATATGGATTATCTTGTATTGCCGTATTTGGTGTCAAAAAGAACACCCAAATCGATAGGAATGTTACGAATAAACCAATTAAAATTTCCAATATCAAAAGCCAGCGTACCAGATTTGGAAATTTAAAGTTCATTGGATTTGGATGTTGAACACCTTGAAAATTTAAATTTTATAATAGAATAATTCATTTTAATTCATTTTATGTAAATATTTAAAAAAAACGACTAAACTATTCTATAATAAATTAATATCGTTTAATTCAACATTTTTAAAAAATGTTGTGTACCGGAAAAAAATAATATTGTACCATATATGTAATAAAATGTATATATATATATATTTTCTTAACAATATATTGTGAATCTTAACAATATCGATTATTGGAACTTAAGGTAATAGAACTAAATTTAAAAAACACATCAAATTTAAGGTAATAGAACTAAATTTAAAAAACACATCAAATTCTGCTAGTATTTATATTACTAAATATATATTGACATTAATACTAATAGAATTAAATTGTATATAAATAGCCTTTATTTATACTTGAATTTTTATATATATAAATATTTGCTTTATAAATATATTATGCTTAAAGTTCATATTAACCTCTATCCGCCCAACGTTTGATTAATCGAATAGCAAATTTTACCACTTTTCATGGATTCTTTGTTTATATTAGAAAAACTTTAGAGTTTATATATGTCATTACTTTGAATGTACGAAGCTTTAGCTCTACAAAAATATTTATGACTTCACTCCTCACCCCACACCCCTTTACTAATTAAACTTTAAAAAAAACATTTTGACCAAAAATTCCAAAAAAATCCTAGGACGGATATGGGTTAATATATCATATCATATCATATATCATATCATATCATATCATATCATATCATATCATATCATATCATATCATATCATATCATATCATATCATATCATATCCATCATCATAAGTCATAATCATTGCATATCCTATCATATATATCTATATTAATATATATATTATATCATATCATATCATATCTACAATATCAATATATATATATTATTCATATCATTCATATCATTATACATAAATATCATATCATATCATATATATCATATCATCATATCATCATCATGATCATATCTATCATATAATTGATACGTCATATGATATCAATATCATATCATATCAATCTATATATCAAATCATAATTATCATATATGATCCATTCAATATCATATCATATATGATTCATGATCATATCATAATATCAATCAATCTATCTATATCATTTCATATATAAATCATATCATATCAATATCATATCATTCATATATAATCAATCATATTCATATATATCAATCATATGATATCATATGATATCATATCATCATCATATCATATATATATATCATTCATCCATATCATATATGTCATATGCATATCATATCATATATACATATTATTCATGAATCATTATCATATATATGATCATATAATACTCATTATACATATCATATCATATCATATCATTATCATATCAAGTCATATCATATAATATTCATATCATTCATTCATATCATATATATCATTATCATATCACTATATATCGATATCATATATAATCATATCATACATATCATATGATATATATATCATAATCATATCATATCATATCAATATATCAATATCATATCATATCATATCATATCATATCATATCATATCATATCATATCATATCATATCATATCATATCATATCATATCGTATCATATATACCACACCGTGTCAATATTTTTAGGCAAAGGAAGTCCGGTATATAAGATTGCTATTTCTAACTAACTTGATATATTGATATATCTATGTTTTCAATAGATTATAAATACCAAGCCTTCGAACCAGAACTGAATCGTAAGCTGCTTACTGAAATTATTCGATATTTTAGACGGAGTGCAATCCGGAATCGAAGCGAATAAAATATACCAGTTTAATTCGGTTCAATGCCGAACTGTTGGGTACTGTTTTATATATGCTCATCTCTCTCTCATCTCGTCAGTTGTTAGAATTTTAATCAATAAAAATTAAAAGGTCTAAACACTATTTATCTGAAAACTTTAGTAGTTTTTTTTTGTATTAAATAAACTATGCTTTCTATACTATAACTTTTAGAAAGCTAAATAAAATTATTTATAAAAAAAATTTATAACAGAATTTTAAATTTTCGGTGGAGCGAAAATCGTAACTGAATCGATATTATTTTGAACTGAACTGGAAAAAAAATAGTTCCGGTTCGAAGACCTGATAAATATAGTATGGTAAATTTTTAACTGGTAACAATATAATACTGATATTTATATTTACTTCACACATATATCCGTAGTATGAATGTAGTTATTATGTTTGGCGCTATATTTGGAATGATTTGAATAAGACGTCTGAATAGTTAGAGGCATATTATTTTTTTGTTTCTTTAAAAGCAGTGGTTCCACACCTTTTTTTGACAAAATCCGCTATGATATTTTTGTTTTTAGTAGGGACCACAAAATTTAAGAAAAATAAACTGTATTATTTTAATATACTTTATGCATCTCTGGTATAATGAATTGTATATGCGCAAGGCTATAAAATAGGGAATCACAGTTCCAAGGCTAACCGTTTAAATATATGAAATATCGGAATGAATATATAATATACAGTTTTAATAAACAGTTTCGTTTTCTTTTTATTATTTTTTAAAAGTTTTAAAGTTGAAATCTGATAAGTAATAAAAATTGAGAGTACTTGATAGCAAATTGATGGTTCAGTTATATATTTTTAATGGCAACAAATCGTTTTCTAACATATATCTATTATATATTATATTTAAATAATTAGGTAAATTTATTCAAAATTGATCTGATCAGTTTAAATTTGGATATAGTTCGGTTAGCTTTGAATTATAAGAGTGTTTTCTAATTTTTTAGGTTTTTCGATTTATTTTTATATTACAATGAAATTGCTTTTTCTTTCTTTACTTTGTTTTTAAACAATTTAATATTAATTGATATAATTTCTATATATTTATTCTCATATATACTAACTAGAATGTTACCACGTATTGACGACTAAGTTTCATTATTATAAACCAATTTAAAACGAATTATTTCCGCTTTGAAATTATTATAAAAAGTATATTGATTGCAACTATCTTTAAAGTAATAATTAAATACGATATTAATTAAAATAAAATAGTAACGATAGTTGAAATAATTATTTTTTTAAATATTAGATAAAAGTTCACTATACTAAAATTAAAGGTATTTATTAAAATACCTTGCTGAGTTTTATTGTTGACGACAAGCATTCTACTGTGCCTTAAACTATTTCTCGTAGGTGTATGCCGTCCAGCGATTTTACTTCCTTTGATATTTTGTGGAACCGTTGTGCTCATATAAACAGCCTAGAAAAGATAAAAAAGTGTTAATATTATATATAATTTCAGCAACTTTAATTAAAAAATTTGTTCAGTTTATAACGTAAAAGAGAATAATAATCTATTGCGATCAGGGCAATAGGTTTCTTGTTAAGCATAAGATCTGTCTAGTAAACACATACTTTAGTAATACATTGCATACATTTATATATGTCTGTAATAAAATAGTTAGAAGATCAAATTATGTTTTCCTCAAGTATACACATAAATTATTATAACATATATTATTATAACATATTATTATAACATATATTATCTGTGGAGCATCTGCTGTGTGATTGCCCGGCTCTCTCGATAACTCGACAAAAATACTTGGAGGCTGTCAGTTTTACAGGACTGGAGCACATACCTGAAGTTTCTGTTGGAATCCTAATAAATTTTGCTAATGAAACGCGCATCCTAGGTGATGCATACAATCACCTAAGACTCTGACGCTAAAATAAGACTCTGATCTGGTATCGCAATGGACCTTAATGGTCTATGTGTGGCTTTTTTGGTCTGCCAGCATAATCTAATCTAATCTAACATATATGATGACATATATATATATATATAATTTTATATATATATAATATTATTATGATGTTTGTAAATATGTACAATAAGTTATATTAATTTTTAAGTGATGCTACATAGATGGGTACCAGTTTATGTAATCATTATTAATAGCTGACTATATATTTAAACAGATCTATTGAAAATGATATAATCAAAACGAATAAATGAAATATAAAGCTAAAAGCAAACATGAATGAATATCAGTCTCTTAGGAATAGTTAATTTTTTGGTTGATGATATGAGAGTTATTGTCTATAGCACGTCCACTCAACAGTGTCTGTGATCACTTGAGCGATTCCGTTGAAATATGATAATATTCACATGATTTAATAGAAGTGTAGCACACTCCCAAGTCTGTACCTTCATTCCTGATATATCATGATACTTTTAAAATACATCCGAATACAATATTTTGATAAGTTTTCTAATGATAGATGAAGCAGCATTGTCATAAGATACAAAATCATAAAGTAAAAAGTATAAATTATAAAGTATGCTCAACGTTTTCTTTTTCAGGCTCAACTGTCCTTGTTTATTAGGGGTTTCAAGGCTTTCAGAGTTGCGTTACAAGCAAATTTTTTAATGGGTTATGTCATCTAGTCAAATGTGTATCCTTTTAAGTGTTAGACCTATGCTTTTACTAATATGTTTCTCATGGCAGCATTAACAGCTAAAGAAACATTTAAAGATCCGAAAAAATAATGCTAAAAACTCCCTTTCTTATGTTGATTAAAAAATAGAATTAGGTAT